GGGCTTGGCAGTGCTGGGTTAACGGTTGGACTCGATGATCTTAAAGGTCTTTTCCAATCTAAACGATTCTGTGGTTCTCCGGTTCTGTTCTATGACCTTCCCCTCCCTGCAGCCCAGGCCCTGCTCACGCTGTGGTGAGATGCTTCCCCCTGCTGAGGCTCCAGGAGCTCCCGCTCCCGGCCGGGCACCGCTGCCCCGAGCCCCTGCCCGCTCTGCCCGCAGCTGCCCCTTTGCTGCTGAGGCCGCTGCTCTCCACAAGGGAGGAATAAACTGGAAACGGCACAGCTGAAGCCTCGCCTGCGGCCGGCACTTTGTGCTTTCCTCCGAGCGCTCGCTCCCCGACGCAGCTCCCGGCCGTGGGGAAGAGGCTTTGATCCGAGGCTGCACCCGGAGCTGCCGCCCGCAGTGCCCTCAGGATTGGCCCTGCCTTCTCTCATCCCTTCCCTATCCTTCTGCTTCGCTGATACGGCAGAGAACGAGAAGGCTGAAGTCCTTGGCTACTGTTTGCATAATTTTGCTGTGTTTGGGGGATGTTTTTGCAGTCTCAGGAACGAGCGTTGCTTTTAGGCGCTGTACCAAGCTGGCAAGCGCGTTGGGGCAGACGGTGCAAAATCATCTGTTCCTGTAAGAAGAGCTGAGCTTCCCCCACGGCCCTGCCGTGTGCTGGTGCCGTGGCAGCCGATCGCAGCCCCTCGGTGCGAGGTGCGGGAGGATTGCTCGGGTTGTGCCTAGCTGCAGCGTGGTGCCCGCCAAGGGACTGTGTTTCTCACTGGATCTGTTTTCTGTTGAAATCGGCTCTTAGAAGCTGAACATCGTGCTTGGAACATCACGTCCAGGAGCTCTGGAGGTGATAAAGACAGGCTGAGCCCATCCTTTATCCCACAGGCTCTGCTTTTCACAACCCTCTAACTAGCCAAGGAGATCTCTGTCCTTCCAATCCTAGTCTCCATCCAGCCAAAACATTCACCAAGAACCGCTAGACCAGGGGTTCCTATTTGTGTTTCTCAGCCCAAGCTCCTGAGAGGGGGCTCTTACCAGAGCCGCGGCTCAGTTTTCAGCGTTTGTCCCCACGACTTCCCTCTCCCCAAACCATCTCTGCTCCGGGGCTGCACACCATGAACTACCCGCACGAGTACGGAGCCCGCCACGTGTGTTGGGAGACAGACGGAGCCATTTACAATCCCAGAGGGATCGACCCCAAGGAGGTGGAAGATTACGAGCAGGTGAGTTGAGCCCAGTCAACCCAGCCCCTGTTCTCAGGGGGTGGTGGTCCGTGCCTGTCTCTGAAACGCCCACGGAGAAGGGGGTTGCCCCTCGCCTTCTGCAGAGTCCAGCCCTGAGGGCAGCGCTCGATGCTGCCAGGCTGGGCCCAGCAGGGCTCTCCCGCTCATTCCAGGGCCACGGCACCGTAGTCGGCTTCCCAAAAGCAGAGCCCTGTGACGGGATGATCCCCATCCCCGCCGTTCCTGAGAAGCAGCTCACGAGGGAGAACGCAGCCCGGGCGCAAGCAAAGGTACAGAGTGCTCGCGCCGCGCGTGCTCCCACCGGCCCCTGCGTCAGCGCGAGCACCAGCAGCCCAGCCCAACCTTTGCTTTTGGCGCTCAGCACCCCGGGGAGGTGTTGCATCGCTGCACCAACAGCTCACCCGCCGCGCCAGAGGGACAGAGCCCGAGGCAGAGGTGGCAGGTCACATAATTGAGGGGAAGAGGAAAGCCTGAGCCCTTCCCTTTGCTGGCAGGGAGCAAGGATTGTTGGAGTGACCTTGGCTGGCTCTCCTGGCATCCTCAGTCTTCATCGCTGTATCAGATCCTCCCCCCAGGGCAGGGGAGATGATATCCTCGAAGGTACCGGGTGTCACAGTGTTGACACTGAAAATCACAGGCAGCAGATAAGAGTGAACAAAGTCGGGGACTGCTATGAATACCAGCTTCTTCCCATCACTGTGGGCTCTAGGGACCAAAGGGACAGGGCGTGCTGGGACCTGGGACTCTGTCACACCAGATGTCTTTTGCAGCCTGAGCCTTTAATCATTCTGTGCGAAACACGAGGTCTGAGCTTTTGCTCATCCCGAACAGCTTCAGTGGGGAGGTGAGCACCCAGACCCCTGCCACCAGAAGTGGCCTGGTGGGGGGGATCCAGCAGCAGGGAAAGCAGCCTGCCGCTGGTTTCTCCTTTCCTTTCTTCTGCCAATCTCTCCTCTGCTCTGTTTGCACTCTCAGATCATTGCAGAAGCTGCCAACGGCCCCGCCACACCAGCAGCACACGAGATATTCCTGCAAAGAAACATCCCGGTCATCCCGGTATGTTCATCCCCACGCAGACGGGGAGATGGTGGGCTCGTGGCTATTAGGGCCATACGGTGTCGTCAGCTGTGCCGATGTGGATCCAGCTGGGCTCTGCCAGGCTCGGGGCTCAGGCAGCGTTGATGGTGCTGTCTCAGCCAGCCTGTTCCCTGCCTTGTCCCCATCTCCCAAGCGCATTTCAGGTGCTGGTTTCCCTTCTGAACCCTCCTGGTTCTTGGCTGCAGCAGAGATAGACCTTGGGGCTTCTGGCCAGCACCGAATGTCCCGTGGCCACTGATGGGCCAACAGCAAACCGTGCCACATCACCCGGGGTCGGAGCAGCCGGTGCCTCTGCTCAGAGGCAGTGCGGAGCCACCGTGGCTCTAGGATTCAGCCAATCCCAGTAACCTCAGGGCTCTCTCTGAGGACAGAGCCCAAGGGTACGGGGAAGGACCCAAGGCAGAGGAGGAGAGAGCCCCAGATGGGTCGTGGGTCTCGGGGTCACCCTAAGCTGTAAATCTGAAGCGTGTACTGCCCTTGGCAGGACGGGTATGTGAATGCAGGTGGTGTGACCGTATCCTTTGAGTGGCTAAGGAACCTGGACCACGTTAGCTACGGCCGCCTCAGCTTCAAGTACAAGCGGGAATCCAGCTACCACCTCCTGCAGGCAGTGCAGCACAGCCTGGAGCAGCGGTTTGGCAAGGCCAGAGGGGAAATCCCCATCGTCCCATCCCCAGCGTTCCAGGTCTGCATGACTGTAAGTGTCTACAACCATGGAAGGTTCTCCTGGCTCCCTTGTCCCACATTCCCAGACACTCCTGTCTGCCGTCCCAGTGCTGAAAGCTGAGCTCATGGCACACACGGAGCCCCCTGTGCCATCATCCCATTAGTGGAAGGGATGGAGATACCATGTGTGGTGGTACAGCCCTGCCATCTGAGGGTGCTGCTGGGTGCTGCAGGGAGTCCCTTGGGAGCCAAGCCATGTGCTGGAGCCGGCTGCAGAGGTGGCAAGCCAAGCTTAACCCACCAGTAGTGGTCTTGCACTGAGCAGAGGGGCTGCGTTTGATAAATGGGTTTGGGGGGGCCAACCTCTAGCCTCTCCCACAAAGGATCCACTTGTTCTCCCCATTAGGGTGCCTCAGAGAAGGACGTGGTGTATTCGGGACTGGCCTACACCATGGAGCAGTTGGCCAAGGTACCTCCACGCCCATCCCGGCTGTCGGGCCCCTCGCCTCGCTGCAGAGGCTCCGTGCTGTGGGTGCCCACCCACAGCACCCCATCACCACTCCCGGTGGGTCAGCACGAGGCCTGGGCTCATCTTCCCAGTGGTGGCTGTGTCCACACTTTGGGTACAGCCTCGTGCTCAGCAGTGTCCCTTGTTGCTGTTGGGTCCCTGTCCCTCTCTCCGTCCCCCTGAACCTGTGTTCCCCATTTCCAGGGTGGCTTAGATGAGCCAGTGGGTGCAGGGTGGGGCCGGCACCGCTGGGTGGGGGGGTCTCAAGCCACCCTTCGGGGACGCGGCTGCGTGCTGTGCTGGGTCTGTCCCCAGGTGAGTGCTGTGGGGCAGCAGTGGGAGAGCATCTCCAGACCCGCTCATAGATGGCTCCAGGTCTTACAGAACAGCCCGCTTGGTCATTTGGTATGGAGGTGACCTCTTCCCCTTCAGGTGCTCCTGAGGTGCTGCCTGCACCCTCCTCTCTGTGTCCTCTGCCCACCCCTCGGCCCCCAGACCCTCCCAGCACCCACCGGCCTCGCACCTCTCCTCTCTCTCTAGCAAACGACGACCGCGGCTGCAAGGTACAGCCTGGCCCTGGACCAGAGAACCGCTGCCTACCTGGAGGAGGTGTTCGCTCTGTACAATGAGGCTGGCTTCACCTACGGACACAGCACCCGGCAGGGTCACTGCCGGCCACGCGGTGAGGGTGACAGTCCTGCTGCGCAGGGGGACACCGCGTGCTGCACAGCGGGGACGCCCTGGTCTCTATAAAAGGTTGGTTTGAGCATGTTCTCTCTCTGCTGCCTGGCTCTCAGCTCTCCTGAGCTGGGGGCCGTCTTCCCCAACACCCCCTCTGGCCCCGCCGCTTTACAGCCTCCCGGGCACCGGAGGAAGCCATGCTGCTGCTGGTTTGGGTCTGCTCGCCCATGGCTGGCAGAATTGGACAAGGGAAGGAAAAAATGCAATTAGCGCTAGGGGAGGGGACAGCCCACGACACAGCCAGCCCCAGGAACAGCCGTCTCGGCCCATTTAATAGCGCGCGGTGGGCGCTACAAGCACTGCTGCAACTGGCGCAGACACGGGGAGCAGAGCCAGGGTGGGGATTTGCAGGCATCAGCAAACCTGTTGTGTGTCCATGCTGACTGCTGCAGCTTCGCTCTTTGCTGGCAAAGCCGGCGAGCCAGCACGGGTGGGGGATTTAAGCTGATATTCATGGCCGGGAGACTCAGCCCAGCTTCTCAGCCCAGCCTGTGCTGCAGTCAAGGGGCTGGAGGCTGGCTGGGGACCCAGGCTGGGTTGGTGGCCCTGCCCTGGGGGAGCTGGAGGCCCAAGGACTGCACTCTGGGGTGGGCACAGGACCCCCTGCCGTGGTGGACATCGCTTAGCGGTGTGTGGCAGCCACCTGCCCTTGAGGTGGTCACACTGCAGCTGAGCGAGCCACGGGTGCTAGCCATGTCCCCGGTCGCCTGAGGGGAGCAGGGTCAGGTAGGAAGGTGGGGACAGCAGAGGAGGGGCTCCCTTTTGCTCTGCGCTCCTGGAGGCACCTTACAAACACCAGCACACCCTGCTGCAGGGAGGACTGGGGGAAGCCTGCCCCCAGCACCCGAACCCCCTCTGCTAGCACAGCCAGCGCCTCCTGGGAGGGGACCGGTGCTTGAGCCCAGGACTGACTGGGTCTAGCCTTGTCTTGGCTCAGGGTCCCCAGCCCCAAAGGGCCCCCCGCATTCACCTGCAGACGCAAAGCACTGCAGCCAGCACGCAGGCAGGCGGCACGGGGACACCGCCTGCACCCCAGGCATCAGCCAGAGCATGGCTGGGAGCCCAGGGCACGGTGGCCTCAGAAGGACCCAGCCAGAAGGCGTCTGTCCCAGCCCCTCATTCCTCTTCCCAAAACTGCCCCTGCCACCAAAGCGCAGGGCCACCCCTCTCCCCAGGGAACCCACAACCAGGACCAGGGGGGCTACAGACGAGAGTTGGCTTTATTCACGGACACGGGGGCAGCTGTGTCACTGGCAGCTGCCCTCGTATTGCACATCCAGCGACGGGAGGCGGGGGGATATCCATGCCACGTCACAACATAGCGTCGGCACTACGGGACCTCAGGGAGGGTGCGGGCACCGTCACCACCCAGCAGGCTGGGGAGCGGGCTTGGGCACCAAGGGTTCACAAAGGCAAAAGACCCGTCCACCCATAGATAGAGATATATATATAAAAAAAAATAGTTCCACGATGACCAGAGCAGAACCACGGGGACACGCGTGCAAGCAAAATGTACAGCAGCCCGCGAGCAGGTAAACATGCTTCGTACGGACACAGACACGCTGGGACGCAGCCGGGGTTTATGGCGCTGGGAGGGATACAGAGCGATAAACCCGGGCTTCACGCACACACACACACACACACCAGCCCTTGCGGGCAGCGCCCGCGGCTCGGCCACGCGCCGGGGCTCGGGGGCTTGGACACGGCGGGTTTTTCTCACTGCTAGACATGGTACGGAGACATGGACGCAGTCCCTTGGAACGGAACTGGAGGAAGAACTTGTGAGCGAACAGGGCAGGGGCACCCCTGCTCCTCCCCGGCACGTGGGCACCGGCCAGGGCCGGCTGGGGAGGAGCAGGGGGCTACCGGCGGTTCGTTGTGCTGCTGGTGGAAGAGGCGAGGATGGGGATCCATTATGCCTCTGGCTCGTATTCCTGGTATTCCTCCTGTTGGATGGGGAAAGAAAGAGCCGGTGAGAGAGCTCAGGTGGGGCACGAAGCCCCTGTCCCCCCCAGCCCCCTGCCAGCCCGCCCGCGAGGCGGCAGGGCTGCGTGCCTGGGGCACCCGGGAGCAGGCAGGCTCCGGGCTTTGCTCCGGACAGCGATGGCCACCGGTGTGCCGAGCACTGGCACCCCGTGCCCTCCGCAGTGCCCTGCGCCCCGCTGCCACCCCGTCCCCTCACCTGTGGGGGCTCCTCGTAGTTCTCCCCCTCCGGCTCCAGCAGCGGCTCGACCAGCGGCTCCTCAACAGCCTCCTGGGCCACCTCCTCTGGCTGGGGGTGAACCGGGGGGGTCAGTCCCATGCACACAGTCCCCCACACAGCACCCACCCTCCCTGCCCCTGCCAGACACCAGCAACGCACCCGGGATGCTGGGGGCTCGGCGGGGGGTGGCTGGCAAGGGCACCCCGGGCACACACCAGCCCACCTAGCTGGGAGGTGACAGGCAGGGGTCCACGGGAGCAGGGCCTGGGTGTGCGCATCCCTGCACCGCTCCCAGCCCTGGCCCCAGGTGGGTGATGGGCGCTGGCACCGTGTGGGCCCTGTGGGCTCCAGGCACCGGCGGGGCCGCGGGAGCATCCTGCATCCCTGGCAGGGGAGGGTGGTGCTGGGTAACCCCTCCCCGGGGCTGGCAGAGCAGCTGGCAGGAAGGAAAGGAGGGCGGCCGATCCCCCCCGTGCAGCAGCGGTGGTGGCGGTGGCCTCATTTCTTCAGCTGATGCTATTTTGGGCTAAGCTGGAAGCCAGCGCAAGAGCCCACACACATACACGTCCGCAGCGGCCACGCACACAGCCGACACGCTCGCAGCAGCAACATCTGCCTGCCCTGGGCACAGGCAGAGCAGCTTGGGACCCTCGGGGTCCCTCCCGCGGGGCTGGGGAGCAGCCGAGGGGCTCCCCCCCCCACCCCGGGGG